GAAAATGTTACATAAAAATGAATGTTACTTAGCATGTCCCTTTTTTTCCTTTTCCTGTCCCACAAGTGGGACTCCAGACTGCTCTTTGCTGCTGTTTACATCTGCTTGTGTTTTTACTTCCAGAGTTTCTTCGAGATTTTTTTTTTTTATAAATATGAAAAAAAAAATAAACAGCATTTGATCTCTACAGGATCACTAAGGCATGTGATGAGCTCACAGCACAGAAGCTGCTATTTTTCCACGTAAGCTGCAGTCAACATCTCTAGTAAAAACAGCTAATGCCTTGTTGTGCCATGGATGTGGCATCGTAGCTCTTGGTAGCGCATGTTAACTCTTCAGTATTTACTTGTGGCTTTGCAATATTTGATTATTTACAGCATTTGTATAGGCCCTTAAATGATACCAGACACATCGACTTAAAATGTTTGTGATTGCGCTGACTGCAGTGGCATCTGCTAAACATTTATTCGAGTGAGTACCCTGCGCTGACGCTGCAGCCTTGCCCAGCTGGGTACCAGACTCTACTGTCACGATAAGTCCTCGTTACAACTGAGTGCAACTGGAGGTACAAGAAGAAAGCAACTTTGTCCAAGCCAAGAAAGATTGCTAGTGTCATCTTTAGCAGGATCTTTCATTGTATATAGACAAAGCAGTGTACTACTTTATCTATGGCTTCCAGGTAAGGAAGTTTAAATACGAAACAGCAGCGCCCTGCTTAGTTTCGAATTGTGGTTCCATGGTGTAAGGAGGCTCTCTCATTCTCTGTATTTCTTGGTGAAATTCTGCCAGCTTGCCAATGAAAGAAACTTCTTTGCTTCACAGAGGAGGTAGGGAGATTTGCTCTGAGGAGCAGCCGTGGCTGTCACAGACAAGTAAACAAATGCAAAGTTCTGTGAAGCCCTGGCAGGGTCAAGGGTGGTCAGTCCATAATGGTTCTGAGCCTGATATTAGGCAAAGAACCGTGCCTCTGCTGAAACATGGCTTTCTTCTATATTTATTGTCGGTTTTGTAGTGTATGGGGAAACAATTAGCAACTAATTTTTACATTATATGTAGACTGGTTTAGGTTAGGCTGGTAGGTGTTACTGTGCATCTTTGTGCTGACAGTAGAGTTGACTGCTCTTGGTTTGAAACCCTTTCCTGGAACATGTAAGACTTTGGAGCAGCTGTCTGAACAAAATGAGAGCTTCATCAGGGAAGAACTGTTCTATTAAATTAGCAGCTGTAAATGACACACCATAGTGAATGGAAGCAAATTTATTTCATGCTGGCTATCTTTCCTTCCCCTCTCCCTGTCTTTTCCAGTACCCCAGAAGCTCTTGAGTAGCAAAACTATTCCTGGATCTTAACTTGCTTAAGGAAGATCAAATGAGTTCACATTTTACTCAAAGGAACAGTAATGAGGATTATGGCTACAACATCAGAGTGCTGCCTCACCAGTTATACCCTCCTGCATATCTCCCATCTTGCTTGAGTTCTTTACATTGAGTTAAAATATAGGCTCCCGTTATAGGGAAGAAGTGCTGCTGCTGAGGGCTCTCCTGCACTAATGAATATTAAAATGAATGTGATCAAGTGCAGTTTTAGTTGCCTCAAGCTTTGCCATAAGATACTTTTTTGGAACAATACCTGTATTTACCACATTTAGATTTACATGTACAGAGCTCTGAGAAATGTTTGGCTTATGTGGGGGTTTTGTGGTTTGTTGTTTCTTTTTCTTTACAATTAGCCTTTTTTTTTAATGTTGCTTATGGAGGTAGTGGCAGTGGGGATTTTATACCACTTGTCCCTGTGATTTTAAAAACATTACATCAAGAACTAAATTTGATCAAAATAGATGGATTTAAAATAGTGAAGAACAAAACAATGTATTTATATTACTTCTAATATAAAAAAAAAACCCAAACAAAATCACCATGGCAATTTGGCAAGATAGGACATAAGGGAGGGAAAAAGGACTCAGAAAACTATTTTTGAATGGTTCTTTCCCGTCTGTGATCTGTAATAGCTCACTGGCAAGTTAGTACACCAGTGTAAGTGGTCCATGCAACACCCTTTCTTGCAGTTTTCAGTTTTAAGTTTCTAGACAAGGGCACTGGTTAAGAACAGATAAAGATTCACAGCTCCTGAATTTTTAAGCAGTAGTATTCCCCTGCTAGGCTGGAAAAAATAAATTTTTGGGACAAATTTACATTTATAAAATTGGGAATTTAAATTTTTTCTTAAAAAAAAAAGGGAATATAATTTAGTTGTATTCCTCTGATGAATACTTTTAATTATGACAGGTACCCCTGCATGCCCTCCTTTCTAAAGAACTATGAAGTTTTTTCCAATCCTTCTTAAAAGCACCTTTTGCATACTGTTAAAAATGTCAGTGCTGGAATATTCTGCCCCTTATATTTATGGGGCGTATAGGTTGAAGGAATGGTTATTAAATGTTGTCACAAGCCTCTTACTGGAAAAAAAAAGCTAATGCAATGGTAGCATGGTATGAGTGCTGCTTGTGGTATGCCGTGCGGGAGAATAAATGGCTTTCAGTCATGTAAACTAGTCACAGGCATTCAGATCCTTTGAACTCTAATAAGAAATGCACACTTACTTTAAATAGTAAGTGACTAAGCATGTAAATGTCTTGATCAAGTCATCAATAAAAAAAGGAAAAGGGGTTTTCTGTTTACATTTTGTTACTTCTGTCTGAAATCTCAATTTTACCCTCTGTGTCTTTGCTTTGCAATGTTCCCTGCTGAGAAGGACAGACTGGAAACACAGTGGGGATCTTTGCATTTTTAGTTGCTCTTTGCTTTGCGGAGGGCTATGTGCTGGAAGACTCAGTGTATTTGCCCAGTGTTTTGCTCAGTATGAGGGGAATATGACTATTTAAGAAAGGCAGGAACTGTTATTTGGTGATTTTTGCTACACTTCAGCTGTAAGTACTGAAAGAGCAGACAGACGTTTAAATATATGTCTTAAGGTACATGCATACAAATCAGTTTTGCTTTTGTAGTTTTCGTCTTTGGTCACGAAATTCTGAAACAATATTGAATGAAGGTGTACAAAGATAATTCTGAATTAAATTTGGCAAATTTAACTTTTTTTAAAGTTAGCGCTTACCCAGTCATGCTTACCCAAAGTGTTTCTCAAAAATTCTTTCTGTCTTCCTTTCTAAACAGCATGTATAACAGCTGCTGTGGTAGAGATAAACTATAGCATGTTTTACAAGCAGGGCTAGACTTTTCTCTAGTGCAAACTTGTGCCCCTTTGTCAAAGTCAAAGGATACATGCTCTGCATGCTAATTTTCTCTGCCAGGTAATTTAGCTTCCATCTACTGCTGGTTTATTTTCAGCATAAAAAGCTCTAAATGTTATGGTGATTTCTGTCCCTTAGGTGTATTTTTCTTTAGAAAGTTAGTATACTGCTGTAGAGTAAGAAAAGTCCAGAATTTCCTGTCATTTTATACTCATATGATCCATTGTTGAGATACCTAATTTATCAACTTTAATCTATAGTTATCTTAAGTATTACCCCTTTTTTTTTTTTCCTCTCAGTTGCATAAAATTTATCAGATTAATAAGAGTCATGTTGCTGTAGCTACTCTGTGTGTCCGGTCTAAAGAATATTAATGTCAAAGACACTCATTGACTTCAGTGAGATTTGGATAAAGCTCACTGTTCTCATGCTCTTTCCATCACTGCAACACCAGAAAACTAAAATAACTGTTCCAAATATCAGTGTCTTCAGATACTTTGCATTGCTGTTCTGAGAAAATATCCAAGCAAATATGAATATAACCAAAGTAAATCTCTCCTTCTGAATTCAGAATGACTATTTAACTAGCTTTAATATTTTGATACTCAATACTAAGTTTCAACTGCTGTCCCTTTTCTTTGTATACAGGTAAAGGCTTAAGAAGGTTAGACTGTGTCTGTTAGGATTGGGAAAAGAATAGAATAAAATAGCATGGTTGCAAAAGCCTCTGCTTTATTAGAAAGTTCTGGAGGGCTTTTGTGTTCGGTTTTTCATGTTGACAGTGTTTGTAAGTTTGCCCATAACCTCAGTGCTGAAATGGAGTCTTAATCTGTTTCCAGTTTTAGCGTTGTCTGATCCCCACTTCTCTCTTACTCATCCCCTGTAGCTCTTGTAGTTTATCCGTTCTTAAGCTGGCTGTCTAGGTTGCAGTTCTGTGCTTGTAAGTGTCATTATAGGTGTGTTGTATGGGTGTTTCTGCTTTGGGAACAGTGGCAGTAGCTGAAAGAAGTATTTCTAAACATCAGTTTTGGAGCACAACACATTTTTTACTTTCATAGGTTCACAGCAGGGAAATCAAAATAAGAAATGACCTTATGTGCATATTTCCAATTATTTACCTTTTAGGTTTTCCTTGAAAATTTTAGTAAATAATTTAAGCCTAGTTGTCCCTCTCTGTGAAACTGGCAAAAAGCAGTTGTGCAGTTTATGCTGTCTGCCCTCCTCCTCTTTTTGCTAGTTCCTATGAGCATCATCTGACCAACAAGTGTTCACGCCTCATTCTTTCCTTGACATCAGGCTCCACTGGTGTGCTACAGCTTCTTTGGGTTTTTCGGATCAGGAAGAATAACCTTTGCACCATTAATTCTGAATCAACTAGTTGAGATACCAGAAACACTTCAGTGGCCTTAGAGGAGAGCTTCTCCAGTCTATATTTCCCTTGTTTATGCCTACTGCAGGTATCCAGCTGGTTCACACCATTATTGTACTCTTCTTTGGTCAAAACCAGATGCTTCTTATATTTCTGTGGCCCTCTGTGTTAAGATACTGTGCTGCCTACTGCTGAGGCATTTGTAGTATATGGCTGAACAAAAAGTGCAACAAAATCATTATCAGCATCAACTGAAGAAGAAGAAATCATGAGCTTGCGCCAACATAACAAAATGGGTACTTTAGACATTTACAGGAATTTGTAAAAAGATCTGAACTGTTGCCCATGCAAACCTAAACTTTAATTCGTTTTGTTCTTCCTTAGCTTGTGGCCGTGGATTCTACAAATCCTCTTCGCAAGATCTGCAGTGCTCGCGCTGCCCTACTCACAGCTTCTCTGACAAGGAAGGATCCTCAAGATGTGACTGTGAAGATAGCTATTATAGAGCACCTTCTGATCCACCATATGTCGCATGCACAAGTGAGTCAGTCCTGAACTTAATAGTAAAGGACGTTGCTTAACCAACCAGGTGCAGCCACTCGTAGCTAGTAGTTTCAGTTGGCTTTTCCTGTATTTGAAGAGTACATTTATGACAGTAAAGAGAATTGAAAGGCAGAGGCGGGAAGAAAAGTTGACAGTGAATATAGAATCAGCATAAATATAATTTTCATGTTTGCTTGATATGGCATTGGAAAATATTGCATGTTGGGTGAGTAACTCATTGTAATAGATAGAATGCAGGCATAGTTTTCCCATGACTGTAAAATTGTTGTAGACAAGGTGCTTTATGTGATATAATACCAAAATGAGTAGCATGAAAATGAAAAGTAACCTGTGCAGGTCTGAGATTTGATTGCACTGTAATTGAATCTGGCTTAACCTTCTAACTGTAAATAGACTAGCCTACATAGATTGTGGGTTCAAACAGCAGAAGTCTCCTAAATCTGAAGCAGCACAAAGTATCTCCATAAATCATATCAGAGCTGTTGACAAAGGACTAGGTGCAGTTGATGCTGTACGTTTAGAAGAGACAAACAAATCCCATACTTGGGAAAACTATAAAAGACAACCTTTAAGTTACGTTAACCAATCTTTTTAATTGCACAGAAGAGAAACAGTAAAGTCAGTTGCAGTAAATCTACAGATGATTGTTATTCTGATGCCTTAATGGAAAATAAATAAAGCTTTTGCCAAGTGAGTTCAAGGAAGCTTTTATGCAGCTTGTACTAAAAAATAATGAAATGTTTATGTGAAGAAAAATGCTTCAACTATTCTGTCTTGGTGATTAAAATGCTAGCTATGTGTCCCACCGTGGTTCTGTGCAATTACCCTGGACTTTTTCGTGTGTTCCATAGGACCTCCATCTGCACCACAGAACCTCATTTTCAATATCAACCAGACTACAGTGAGTTTGGAGTGGAGTCCTCCCGCTGACAACGGGGGAAGAAATGACGTGACCTACCGCATTTTGTGCAAGAGGTGCAGCTGGGAGCAGGGCGAATGTGTTCCCTGTGGGAGTAACATTGGATATATGCCCCAGCAAACTGGATTAGTAGATAACTATGTCACTGTCATGGACCTGCTAGCTCATGCTAACTACACATTTGAAGTTGAAGCTGTGAATGGGGTTTCTGACTTGAGTCGTTCCCAGAGGCTTTTTGCAGCTGTCAGTATTACCACCGGTCAAGCAGGTAAGTTTTCATCACTTATGAATCTCAACACTGTGAGACTGAGAGAAATTGGGAACATGCAAACTACAGATGCAGTAAATCAGCAGCGTGTTTGGTGTGTTCTGGCTCATTAATCTTTTCACCTTGCCAACTAGTTAATTTGAGCTTATACTATTTCATGATAACCTGTCCTGTTTCTTGGCCTCAGGACTGCTTTCAGAAAGCATTCATGAAAGATTTAAAGAAGACACACAGCTTTATTATTAAATGGATTTTCTTAACTTTTTTTTTCCTTACATTACTGTAGGTTGTTCCCTAGTATTTGCAAATAAAAAAAAAAAGTAGATGTGACAGTCTTATGCAGGTTTCCTTTTTGAATTTTTTAAACCTGTAAAGGAGTCTTAGGTCACTGGAAGACAATTTGGATATCTGATGGTATTTTTAGTGTTAATGTTTTCCCCCAGGATAAGGTTTCTAATTTATCTTATATTTCCAGATATTTGATTATGACATTCAGTGAGAATGTGATGATTATTCTTTGTTTCTTCTACTTATCATAATCTGACAGGTGAAATGTCAGGGAAAATAAAGTCAAACTAGCGTATCACCCCAGGGCAAAAAAGGGCTTTAGTTGTCTGCATGCTGAGTAGAAAAAAAAAGAATTCTTTGATTTAGGTTTCTGAAATGATGAGTTTCTTGTTGATAAAAATTATAGGCCTCTGAAGCTACAGTAGTTCACTGTGGGTTCTAAGAGAAGATAGTAAAACTTACCATTTATACATTGAACATAAGATCTTAAATTGAACATGAATTGCAAGATCTGGCTTCTGAAATTATGAGATAGGTAACTGATACTGGCTGTAAGAACAGCTAACCAGTGTTTTAAAAGATACTTAGATCTTGGAGGAAGTTTTAATGACTATGATCAAGATGTTCTTTTTTAATGTGGTAGAAATTATCCCCTACAGTAATGCTTTGAACTGCAGACAAACCCACTGTACAGGGGCAATGAACAAATAGGAAAAACTGTAGTTATTTTGCACTTTAAAGATGGTCATCTCAAAAAAAAAAGAAAAAAAAGGACAAGAAATTTGCTTCAAAGCCTTTCTTCCCTTCCCCCATAACTAGGATGTCTTATATAGTTGTTAAAGTTAGACTGGAATATTTATGGGATATTTAATTTCTCCATAGTGCTTTCCTGGATACCAAATGCACATTTCATATTATTTTGGAATCATCCCTGTGACTGAAAGGATTGGTCTCTGTGCTTGTTCAGTTTTTGGAGTTCATGATGATGTTTTGAGCAGAGAGAACTTATCCTGAAACTATTTTTGCACCAGAGATTGTATTATTTTGGCACTTTGATTTTTCTTCTTTAAAATAATTCTGTATAATTTTTCAGACGTACATGGGTGGACAATATTCCACTCTCTGTAGATGTCTGTGCAGAAGTACAACACGAAGGGGAGGGTTTGGGCTTTTTCGTATTCAACTAAATCAGATTGGCTTTACTTCATGTGTTTTGATGATTCAATAGCACACAGGGTAAAGGAAGAGACAGTGTGATTTGGTGGCTAGTATCACATCTCAGGAAGATGAAAAAGCCTTAATCAGATGTTTGTTGTGTTACCTCCAAGATTCATTATAGTTAATTCTCTTATGTTCTCATAATCATATATTTATAGGATTTTTCAGGCCAGAATATATAATGTTTATCCTGTGTTATTTTATAAGTAGCACAAGCTATATGATTTTATGAAACGATCCTTACATCAGGCCCAGAGATGTTAGTGAAACTAGAGCTTGCACATATATTACGGATGACATCTAGACTTTACCTAGTCATTTTAAGTAGTGAAAAACCTTCACCCTCCTAGATGAGTTGTGTAGGAGCACGACGCAGGAGACCTGACTTGGTTCCTTCCCTGCTCTCCCATTTTCTGTGGGATTATGCACAGGCGAGTTTTTCCCCGTGCTGCAGAATCCAACACTGTCACTGCTGAGAGAAAGGGCACTCATAAAACTGATGCTTTGTCTGTTTAGCACTTCTGAATATTGGGATTTAAAGGCTTCCAGTTTGTCATCTAAAAGAAATATATATAGGTAACAGATTTTTTTTTTGAAAAAAAGGCTTTAAGCTCTCCTTGTTGCAGTTTTCTCTCTCTATAAAATGAGCGTAACCCTTACCTTTCCTCAACAAGCTCTCTAAGATTTTCTGATTAAAAGTGCCATGTAAAGGCAACATTTCTTTTCCATCTGAATTACAAAATTCACGTTAAAGGAAATACAGCCTTTCAGAAAAAATGCATTCACTAAAAGGAAAGACCTCTTTTACATTATTTTTGCAACAGCATGTTTTGGATCCTAATCTTGATTTCTTCGGTTTCTCAAGGAGGAAAATATTTTAGGTGGAACAGATTGATGACTATAATTGAACAGAAAGAGACTGGTTGCTCAAAGGAGACTGTTATGCTTCTGTGGTCCTATTTTATTTTACCATGGAGAGAGAGAAAGTGTTGGATTTATTTATAGCCAAGTAAACTAGGATTCATGCAGCTCTCATTTGTTACTGTGTGACTGTTCTATACTTTTGGCAAAAATGACTTTTTCTGTGCCCATATTGCTTTTTATGTGTGTAAATGTGTCTAACTAAACCTTCTTCACATGTTATTATGCTAGCACAATAGGTGTCTATATATAATTACTGGGTTCACCAGATACACAGAGGCTTGTAGTGAGATTTTCCCTTTGTAGTTTTGGTTTAATTGAATTGATCCTTTGTGACTGTATTCACAAAATTCAAATCATTGTGTAACGATAACAGGAAATTATTGATAAAAGAATGAGGTTATGGAATATATTCAGTTTTTCCTCACCCACATATAACAAGCTTCTGATGAGACAAAGAGAGCGTGTCACAGAAAAGAACCAGGTGGTTGATAAAAAACTATTTATATTTGTGGAAATAACAATAAAATGACTGAAAGTGGGTAGGTGGCATTTCACATTGCTCATATATATACATATGACACATCGCTATTCATTCCTTTTGTTAAAAAGACTTTGTGACTAGGCTATCAGTTGTCATATGACATATTTTTTGTGCTGTAGCCAAGAACCATGAGGCTTTTTGTTTTGCTTTGTTTTGTTTTTTGACAAAAGCATGAAAGAGCTGAGCTGGAATCAGAGGTAAAAGATTAAGTGCACTAAGTCCCCTAGGAGTAAACCATCTTGTTTCATATCTTGCCTATCCAGCATCATATAAAGAATACAGGATGTCATCCCAGTATTGCAAGCTGATCTCTGTGAACTCCCACATCCTTGTAGAATTCAGATTTAAATGTGACTAAGCCCCAGTTACAACAGGTGAATGTACTGAAGAGCTGCAGCTGGCAAACAGCTGACAAACACTGCCATTGCAAGCTTATTGAATGGTTTACCAAAAATAAAATTTACCACTTCTCTAATAAGATACCTTCCAGTGGTGCGGGTAGTTCCCTTTGATTCACCAAATTCCTTTCCTAATTCTGCATTTTTTCCTTACAACACTCAAAAGGTTAATGGAGTTGAGTAGGTTTCACAGCAGATGAACATTTGTTGGATTTTGGCATTTAGACACTTTCAACCTTTAAAAAAATAAGTGTTTCAGTAACAATTGTATATTTTTTTTTCTGTTGATGCTCTTGCAGACGAAGGTATTTTTTTAAACTATCCATGTCTTTTTTACACTATCCATCTACATTCTTTTCATCTGGAATTTGTCTGAATCTAGCCTAGCCTGACTTTGAGAAAATTTAAGTTAGGTTGACTGAATCTCAACATTTCTTAGGGTTTGAGAAGATTTAAGTATCTGTCCTGAACCAGTTTGAGACACTCATCGTATCTTACTACCGTAATCAAACATGGCAAACGGAAGTTAAAATGTAATGCTAATACCTGTTCCTAAATGTACTTGCTGTTCTTATGCAGGGAGCGCTTGGAAATTCTCACTGCTTTTTCACAGCAAGAGAAAGGTGCCCCACAGCACTCTCTGGTCATGCTGTGTTTTCAGATGCTCTTAATGCTGACAACTTGAAGTGATTAAAAAAATCTTGATTCAATTCTATAATCAAGTCTTACTCTTGAAAAACATTTTTAGTAACAATTTATTTTGTATATGTTGATTTCCTTTTCCTTTTTTTTTTTTCTGTCTTAGGTTTCAATTTTCAGACCTTTTCCTATGAAAAACATATCCCCAAATTCAGACCTTAAAAAAGGGAGGAACAACTGTATTGTTTCATTATCCCAGAAACATGAACAGAAAAAACACAAGCTGTAGAATAATGACCATTGGCAGCAGTACCACTGTTTTGCATGGCAAGAAGAAATGATTGAATGCATAAAGAAACAAGACATCCCCTCTGTAAAGCTGTGTGATGGTTTCTGCCTTTTTTAGGTACTTTTCAAGTCTTTCTAAATGGAGGAGATGCTTTGCATTTTTGTCTAGCCTACATTCTCCTTCCATGGTTCTTGCTCACAATTTTTCTCTTTGCTTCTCTTCACATCTTCCCAAGCTCTCAATTATCTCTAGTCATTTTTAAAAGTCTCCTCTTTCATAGTCTCGTCACTATTGACTATCTGTTTGTTTCCTGTTCGCTGTCAGTCTCACTTAAGCCTGACTCTTCTTCAGCAATGAGCTGTCCCACAGCAGAGGCAGCAATCAAGATTTATGCCTGTGGCTTTCCCAGTAGCTTTGACCTCATCATTCTAGTCCTTTTCTCACTTCTTTCCCCAGACCACTTCGGTGTCTTCCCATTTGGTCACCAGGTATAGTCTACCTTCATCTACACCTTCCATCCAATGTTCCCTGTTGTTGATACGTGACAGCTTGTTACGAATAGCTTCATTGTTCAATTTAATATTACTTCAAGGTTTTCCCATTTCAATGGACTTCCTTTATCTTCAGGTTTCATTTGATGTTTCCTGCTAGTGACTTTAATTTTTGAGCTATACTTCATCTTCTAGTCTTCAAATGTAGATCA